TATATATATATATATATATATATATATATATATATATATATATATATATATATACATATAAATATATATATATATATACACACACACAAGCATATGTATATATATACGTATATATGCTTACATGTATATGTATGTATATATGTGTGTATATGTGTGTATATATATATATATATATATATATATATATATATATATATATATATATAAATAACCTTATATATATTATGTACATATATACAGTCAGGGTAGTTTTAGCGACTTTCTTAAAATCGAGCGGCTTCTAAGAATATTTTTAATCACATGAAAAGACATTATATATATATACATATATAGGTGTAGGGTCCAAGATATACATATTTTACAAGACTTTCTCGTGAACCAAAACACCACGCTTTACTGCTGCAATGGACGTAGTGCTTGATTTGAGACGATCAATTCATCATATCGATGGATCGTACGTACTGTCGATCGCAAGTGTAATATCCGATAATTATATGTTGCATTTTTTACTTCGTTTCATAAGTGACTGGTCGTTTCGTGTTTTTATACCGTAATGTTTTTCGTGTTCTCGTGTTTCCGACGTTAGATATGAAAAGTCACACGCAAAATTCGGCTGTTATCATCCTGCCCGAACGAAGAGTCCGGCCGTGAGAGACGATAACTTCCGAGCTTTGTTTATTGTAAGTGATATAATTTATCGTGCGTGTGGAATGCTCAATTGTTCTTGAATCAAGCACAACCTCTGTCAGTTATAATAAAGTGGTAGTCAAGCGAGGATTTTCGAGGAAATTTAATAATCGAAATTTAATAGTCGCATTCACTCGAGTAAGAAACGTCTCTTGGAAATTAAAACGTCAACCTATTCTCCTCTTCTTTTGATTAATGTCTCGCCGATTTGTAGTTTTTAAGGAACGTAATGCTGTATTTCTCTTTCAAGGACCCTTTTCAATTTTGATAATGTCGTTGAACAATCAAATATCGTCGTTGAATACACACACACATACACATATATATATTTTCGACGATTTTACACGACTCTCTTTGTAGCCCAGTTGTTTTGTATCATTGGATCTTACAGTCTTTGACTACCAGTTTATTATAAGTGTGCATTTCTTTCATCGAAATATTTGAAGAAAGTGCACAGGAAAACGTAAGAAAAATACTCTATGAAACACGCTTTAGCCTGTACGTGCGTACTAGCACACTCTATGGTGCCTCTCACTCAACTTACTCCACTTAAACACGATTGATTGATAGAACTTACGGTAACGCATAGGTGATAAATGATATTATAGGGTTACGACTATAATATAGCTCTCCTGCAATTAACGGCGCGACGCGGCGCGAAGAACTTTTTCATCCATCCAACGCGATCGTCACGTCTTCGCGGATATTCTCCATCTATTTGAAAATCTCGAAATTCCTCAATTTATATTCCGGCCCTTCGTCGAAATCGATTTCCCAGAGTAACTTGGATAAATGGGAAGCTCTTTGCGCGGCGTGTGCACAAATACATACATACATACATACATAGATCTCGAGCATTTGGAAGAGAAAGGACGCAAGAGATAAACAAAATTTAGATATTATTATTATTATTACGAGGGGGGTGTGAAAACTGCGCTATACTAACTGTAGTAGGCGCAGGGTGGTTATCGTATATAGGGTGATACAAGTAGAGACAATCAATAAACTTTATCGTTAACGTGGCGCTGTGTAAAAATCAAATTTCCTTTTCGTGATCTATTGAGTGACATCCTCGGCGTAAACGAGTCATCAACGAAATAATTGAGGCGAAAGATTGGGGAATTCCGTTCGTAGATATTTCGTAGTTCGTAGATCGGTGATATTTAAATGGCCTCGCGCTAAGCGCAACGTTATTTCATTACGAATTATTACGTAGGATGTTCTTTCGTTCACGACAGCTACAAACAGCGTTAGTCAAAGAGGTACTTTAGTTTTTATTCCACCAAAGACATTGGATTGAATTTCCATAAGTTACGATCCGCGAATACTATCTCGAAAATATCGGTAATTTATTTAAAAATTATCGTATCGCAACGGCTAGCAGAGACACGAGTCTTTTCGTACGTTAATCCGATTTCTTTCGTTCGAAGGAGATCTCGTTGAGCGTCGAAAAGGGGGATATCGCGTATAGAAAGAGTATGCATAACGTATAGATATACGGTAATAATATCTCTAATACTATAATGACCACAAAATACTCTTGTAAAAGATCTCAAATGCAAGTAGTGTTCGTGAATCGGCCGAAAAAAAGTATGTAATATAATTTTTATCATTAGACGCGCATATATATATATACATACATTATATAATACATATATATGCAAAACGTGCACGCACGCAATCGGTTTATTAAAGGTATTCTATACAATGATATACATACAGTGTGGTGTATATACTTATAATGATTACACACGCATACACACACCACATATTTAAGGCGAAAATTTAGAATTATTATACATATACGACATAGCTCTCTCTCTCTCTCTTCCCTCTGCCTTCCCTCTCTCTCCTCCTCTCTTTCTCTTTCTCTCTCTCTCTTTCTTTCTACAATATAAACTAATTACCTGTCATAGGCATCAAATGACGAAGTTGTCAGAATCAAATCGAACGTGAAGTTCGCTACTTATAGTTTAGAATGTGATAGCACGCAATATCTACTTCAGCCGCGTGGAAATTGGGGAACCAATACGTCCATGAGATCGCACGCGGTTGCCTCTCTCTTTCGCTCCTTCCTCCCTCTATCTCTCGCAAAACTTCAATTACCTCCGATCTAATTTAGGCCGGCACGGCATCGATATACTCTCTTATCGCCGACATTCGACGGACTAATTTAATTTAGTCGGTACAGCGCAATAACGATAACGATAGAGTCGCCAATTCCTGTGAGTCTCGTCTAGCTCTCGACGTGGTCGCGGTGGATTCAAATCCGACACGACTGCGAAATCCTTTCTTTTTTTAGATGCGCGCGTTTTCACAAATCACGTGCCTATACACCAGTACGTGCTGGGGACAAAAATGATTTAGGAAATACGTGGGTTCTATTTTTATTTTTATTTATTTATTTTTTTTGACGTGTGTGTGTGTGTTTTCGTAGAGAGAGATTCTTCTCGCTCGTACGCTAATCGGAGTCCGTGCGAACGTGCAAGACACGTTACGGCGTATCCGAGGTGTCGTTTTCGCCTGCGAGTTGTTATCTACTTACGAGTAGTTTTCTATGCTCTGACTAAGCTAGACCTGTCGCAATCTCACGTCGATACTAGGAATAAGACAAGTGAACGATGATAATCATTCGTAGCTCGGTAGCGCGCGCTTTCGGCAGCTAGAGGTTTACAGAGTTTCGTGTGTGTCCGCCGTATGTAGAGATATTCTAGCGAACTAAGCGAAAAATTAGCGGAGTCGAGTCATAGAGTCTCGGGCGTAAGACGACGGGACGATCTCGTCTGCATGCGCGACGCGTTTGTTAGGAAACACTTGCCGCAAACTTGTCGGGACGAAGCTTTGATTTTACCTTTCTGTGATTCAGATGCATGACGACATACAGATAGTGATAGCGGACAAGATATTGTAAAATACTATTATCGTTATTGTTACAAGGAGACTTAGAATACGCGCTAATTTCCGAAACGCGGGATACGCGATGTACTTGCGATGTACACTTCGTCATAGTATGGCACTTCGTAGGGATGAATCGGCGCGACGTGTCTCGCTCGCGAAGGGAATCCCTTGTTTCTTTCTTTTCTTTGGAGAATAACGCGATTGTTGAGATTATGCCACGAGCTAATGAGAACGTGTTACCTACCCACTTTTGCGCGCATCCTTTGCCGCTTCTCGTGCAGGCACGACCAAATTTATTGTGAAAATGACAGACCAAAGTAATAACCATCCTGTACGCAACAATCAGCTCTTAGTTTGTACAGAAAACGAAGACGAACAAAGTTTGCAATCGATATTTTTGGACGATGTCTCTTTCTCTCTCTCTCTCTTTCTCTCTCTCTCTCTCTCTCTCTCTCTCTCTCTCTTTCTCTCTCTTTATCCTCTCGATTTAACTTTTTTACGTGGAATTAGACCAGATTGTGTCTTAGGCGAAGACGCGACTTGGAGAAATCTGGGTGCACACACATCTCGCGAGATACATTTCGGCCCTTACTCTGAACTCTATTTTTGTCGATAGAAGTGCCTCTCCAAATATGTCGATAAGCAAATAATCAGAAGTCGCTCATTACTCGCATTCAGAGGCACTTCCATCGACAAAAGAGAGTTCAGAGAATAAGGGTCTTTCTATCTCCTACTTAGCTGCAGGTTTTCAAATTGCAGGCGCGAACGTTTTCTACGTATTTTCGTGAGTTGAACCGATGAACGACCTAGTGTAATCGTGTGTTAGTATACGTATACCGTACGAGAGCTGTTTCGTCTCTCTTGCAATACGCTAATAGCGAGAGAAGCCTCGCGATTTCCGCTCGAACTCCACGCGAGTCGGAGAGATCGCTCAATATATGTCCACTTCTCCTCCACTGTAAACTTAACGAAACTATCTCTCGAATGCAATTTACGAAAGCAATGAAAAAAGAATAAGAAGACGCGAGCAAAGGAAACCCTCCGGTCCGAGGAACGTCTCCTCTCCGACGCGACCGTCTTCGACGACAAGGGACGCAACACATAATTCGATCCTTATCACCGTAGTTGCCTATACTCTATCTACGTCTCTATTGATAAAGCAGAGAAATAACCACTTCGTAAAGACGTTTTCTCGGTCTTGGGAAGCCTCTGAGCGGGTAGGCGGGCTTCGCACGAGATCGTCGCCTTACCGTGACCTCTCACTTTCTATTACTGGTCAGCGACGACTTTATTATCGTCGAAGGAGACAACGCACGACGGCGAAGATAATCATTTGTCGCACCACGTAGAATAATTAATCGAATCGTATTCCTGACAGGCGATTTATAATACACCGTCGTTTTCTTTCTGTCTATTCGTGGATTGCGGTTGAACTCTGTAAATAGGAGAGCGCGAACATTCACCGTGACACAATCGCCGTGATCACTGCGTTTCGTAGGATTGAAGCTATGAGACAATTATTCCCACCGCGCACATTTAACACTACATACGGCCATTGTGTCGGTCTGTTTCCGAGACCTCGCTTAAGTCGATCGTGTAAGATACGTTGTAAAATAGCCGAAATGAGAACAGAGAGGTGCGCCTCTAACGCTGAATATGCGTGATGAATATGCAAAATCGACATCATGATCACTGAATTACTTCCTACGATCATACGCGCGTCTTTCTTTCTTTTCTCTCCTCTCTTTCTTACCCTTCACTCTCCTCCGCTCTCTTTCCACCCTCTCCCTTTCCTCCTTCCTCTCTCTCTCTCTCTCTCTCTTTCTCTGTGTATACGACTCAACATATTAATACGTACAATACAGATTAATATAAGTTTATGATTATTATCACACTACCACGCTCGTGCGAATGTGATCATGAAGAGTTGTCCTGCAGAAATAATGCCTCTCAATCATAACACGAACGAGGGAATATGTTCACGCATATTTTGTTTCCGGCACGGTGTATATTTTCTCAAGTCCGTCGATGTGTCGCTTAATTCGCGATCGCTTCTGTTTCTTCTTATGTTCTAGTAATGGATCATACGAAAGGAGAAACACGCCTCTCCAAATATGTCGATAAGCAGATAATCAGAAGTCGCTCATCAGTCGCATTCAGAGGCACTTTCATCGACAACCCTTATAGAAATGTAATACTGATAAGTAATAATTTGGCCAATGATAATTACTGTCGTTCAATAATTATCACTGGCCAAATTATTACTTATCAGTATTACATTTCCCTATAAGGGAAAAGAGAGTTCAGAGAATAAGGGTCTTTCTATCTCCTACTTAGCTGCAGGTTTTCAGGTTTTCGGCGTTTCTCGCCGAAAAGAAGAAGAAAAAGAAGTTATCGTCTCGCTCGAAAAACGGTCGTTTTCTCTTTCATCATAACGCCGCGTATTGTTTGCGAAGCTGCGCACTTTCGTGCATATTTTTTAACAAGGTCGGAAAAAAATCACGCGTTTTCGGGACGACGCGATGCACCGACGCAACGACGGACGACGGTAATTGTTCTGACGATACACGCATACGACTTTCCGTGGCAAAGATGTTTTGCAAGTGTCCTTCCAATTATGAACGTGGGTAGTGCGCTCTCAAGGGTCTACATTTTTAGATTTAGGCGAGCTTGCAACTGTACATTCTCCGATGGTCCATCCGCGACGTCGACGGACGCGATTGATGCGATATGCATTAGAAATGTACGAGAATAGGCGCGTATTTAGGAAACGAATTTATCGGACGACGGGAACGGATGGGCCGAACATGTTATACACTGTATGTGCATATGCATACACGAGCGTATAGAGATTTATACGACTGTATGTGTATGTATGTATTTATGAAGTAAAAAAACACAGACACAACACACATATACATATATATATAATATATATAAATATATATATATAGAGATATATAAATACTGGTAATATTTTAAAAAATCATGCGTAATAACTAACCCCTGTTAAATATTGTACATTTGCGGCGACATTATCTACGCAATTATATAAGTATAAGGATATATATATATATACATATATTATTATTATTATTATTATTATCGAATATTAGTTAAAGTTGAATATACTATATCTACTATTCTCTTGAAATCTTTTCGTTGTCACTTTACACCCAATTTCTCGTCCCCTTGCAAATATTCCCCTCGCATTCAGATAACGTAATAGCGAGAAACAGTCTAAACAGCACAAACTTTTAAGGGGTAACGCCACGGTTGAACTTTGAAAAAATCGAAAATTCTTTTTTTGCTTATATCACTAGTTTTGAATGTTAAAAATATGGTACAAGTGGTTTAAAACCGATACGGGGCCCGTAACATAGTCGTAGCGCCAACCAAAGCGGAGTATCTCCCTTCGCGCCACGAAGTAGCTGCGGCCGTTCGGAGGGACCACACCTTCTGTACGCTCGACAGACATAGGGATATATTCTTCTACTGTTTTCAATATTAGAAGAATAAAGAAGGCTACACGCAAAACTCTAACGAGAGCTTCAACGCTACTGTGTGGTCTATGGCTCTCAAAGTTTTTTCAAGTGAGAAAAATTATGGATATAGCTACAGATGTAGCTACATATTATTATAACGATGGCTACAATAGCATAATGCAAATCATGCAAGTTTTGTATCTTAAAATTGGCCCCACTTACTACAACTTCTGCGTGGAAGCAGACGCGCGCCGCATCAAGCTAGCTGAGCGCAGCATCACTGACCAAGCCAAAGAAGCTAGGAAGTCAATTTTATCAATAAGAAAAGAAGAACATGAGGTTGACGTGTCAGAGGAAGACCAATTGTATGGAGCAAGCATCGCCGATTAGAGGTAAATCTAAAAAATTAAACTGTATACACAAAAAACTAGTATGAAAAACTTTAACCGCGTTTTTCTCGAAACACTGTTTTCAAAATCGGTGGGACAAATATCTCAGCCAATTTCCATCCGATTGGTTTGAAATTTTAACACAATCTTCTCAGATATATTTCCCTTTCGAGTACGTAGAATTTTTTCGAAAGCTAGCTGAGCGCAGCATCACTGACCAAGCCAAAGAAGCTAGGAAGTCAATTTTATCAATAAGAAAAGAAGAACATGAGGTTGACGTGTCAGAGGAAGACCAATTGTATGGAGCAAGCATCGCCGATTAGAGGTAAATCTAAAAAATTAAACTGTATACACAAAAAACTAATATGAAAAACTTTAACCGCGTTTTTCTCGAAACACTGTTTTCAAACTCGGTGGGACAAATATCTCAGCCAGGTTGAAACTTTTTTTGCAGTAACCGTTTCTTTAACAAAATTTTAGTGGAAAAAATGAACTTTCTTCCCAATAACGTGCCAAATTGCGAAAAATTAGTATTTCTCTATAATCCTACGTACTCGAAAGGTTTAATGTACGTAGATAATAAAAATCTTTGCCTGATTGTTCCAGATCAAACCAGACCGGA